CAATGACAACTTTGAAATTCGATGCCCATGTGTTAAATGCAGCAATGTGACGTCTGGTAATCGTGAGTCGGTAAAGACCCACTTGATTGTTCATGGAATTATTAAAAACTACAGATTTTGGTGTCATCACGGTGAAAGACAGGGTGAGTCCATTTCGGAGTTTGATGAAGAACAAGAAGAAATGACAGAAGAAAGCCAGAGTGATGATGAAATGCAAGAAATGATTGGACATTTATTTCATAATTCAACTGGCGTTGTTGCACCTGATGCCACATCAAGTCAGGATATTCTTGAGCAGGAACCAGATGGACATGCAAAACAATTCTACAGTCTTTTAGGTGACTCCGAGAAACCTTTGTATGAAGGCTCTAAATATTCAAAGTTATCTGCTTTAGTGAAACTACTTCACATAAAGAGCCTAAATAGGTGGAGTAATAAATCATTCTCAATGTTGCTCCAGTTTTTGAATGAGGAGCTATTGCCAGGGGAATCAACACTGCCTAATTCATATGATGAGGCCAAAAAATTAATCCGAGACCTTGGCCTATCATATGAAAAAATTGATTCGTGTCCATTCTCTTGCATGCTGTTTTGGAAAAATGAAGAAGGTCTTGATACATGTCAGAGATGTGGTGCTTCTAGATGAAAACTTGATAAACATGGAAAAGAGATCAAGAGAAAGGCAAATGGTAAAAAAATACCACAAAAGACATTGCGATATTTTCCTCTTAAGCCACGATTGCAAAGGCTTTACATGTCTTCGAAGACAGCTTCTGATATGAGATGGCACAATGAAAGACATGTTGAGGACGGAGTGATGAGGCATCCAGCTGACTCTAAGACTTGGAAAAACTTTAATGAGCTACATGAAAGCTTTGCCGAAGAGCCCCGAAATGTTAGGCTTGGTCTTGCAAGTGATGGTTTCCAGCCTTTCACAAATTCAAAAGTTTCTTATAGCATATGGCCTGTTTTACTTATACCATATAACTTACCACCATGAATGTGCATGAAGCAATCCAATTTTATTTTATCTATGCTCATTCCTGGTCCAACTGGTCCTGGAGATGCTATTGACACCTACTTACAACCATTGATAGAAGAACTAAAGGAGTTGTGGGCCTCAGGCGTTCGAACATATGATGTATCTCTGAGACAGAATTTCATTTTACGTGCAGCACTAATTTGGACCATTAATGATTTTCCTGCTTATGCAAATTTATCTGGATGGAGCACTAAGGGGAAATTAGCATGTCCTTGTTGTAATAAGCACACTCACTCTATCAGGTTAAAATATGGAGGCAAGCAGAGCTATATGGGGCATCGTCGCTATCTTGATGAAAATCACAGTTGGAGAAAGGATAAGAAATCATTTGATGGCACTAGGGAGAGAGGGTATGCAGCGCCGAAGCTGACCGGAGATGACATCCTTAAGCAGGTGGAAGATCTTATAGGGATCACCTTGACCAATCATCCAGAGAAGAAAATTAAAATATCACACGAAAGACGGGGAGATAATTGGAATAAAAAAAGTATTTTTTTTGATTTGCCATATTGGAGAACTCTCTTATTGCGACATAATTTAGATGTCATGCATATTGAGAAGAATATTTGTGATAGTCTACTGAGAACAATCATGAACATTAAAGGAAAGACAAAGGATAATATCAAAGCCCGTCTCGATTTACAAGCAATAAGTTTAAAACCGGAGTTACATCCAATCCAGAGAGGAGATAAACTTATGATGCCAGCAGCTTGTTATACTTTATCCCAAGAAGAGCAAAGCAAATTTTGTCGATTTCTAAAGGAGTTAAAAGTTCCAGATGGATTTTCATCCAATATTTCTCAATGTGTAAACCTTAAAGAGCGTAAGATTTTAGGGTTAAAGAGTCATGACTGTCACGTTCTTTTGTAGCACTTGATTCCTGTATCGATTCGTGTCCTTCTTCCTGCAAAAGTGTGTGAACCAATTATTGAACTTTCCATATTCTTCACTATATTATGTGCCAAGACATTAAGGGTGGATGAACTTAAGCAAATTAATGAGCAGATTCCACTTACGTTATGTAAGCTTGAGAAGATTTTTCCACCTTCAATTTTTGATGTTATGCTGCATTTAGTAGTTCATTTAGCATCTGAAGTCATACTTGGAGGGCCTGTTCGATTTTGATGGGTGTACCCAGTGGAACGTCAGCTTTATACTTATAAATCATATATCAAAAATAGGGCGCGTCCAGAAGGGTCAATTGCTGAAGGATATATAGCAGATGAGTGCATGACTTTTTGCTCAAGATATCTAAAAGGCTTCGAGACAAAGTTTAATCGCCTTGAAAGAAATTATGAAGATGACAATAGAGAATGTAATGAAGCACAACTATCTATTTTCAGACATAGTGGGCGGGCATTGGGTGCTGCCACCACCCGCTACCTTGATGAACGTGAGTGGTTGCAAGCTCATATTTATGTTCTAAAGAACTGTGATGAAGTGCAACCACACATTGAGTAAGTCACTAAAGTTTAAGATTCTACTAATAAATTTACTATAGTTAGTCAACGTTAATCATATTTATGATATTTTAATGTAGGGACTACAATGAATTCGTGAGAGAACCCACAAATCACTATGATGATAAAGATTGGGATAAGAACTTTATCGAGTGGTTCCAAGCTCTAGTACGTACATATCTTGCCTTATTTTTTTAATATATTGATTGGTTCATTTTATTACATATTCCATGACTTGATCATATTTTGGTTTTGTTTAGGTTTATCAGAGTTATTGAGAAGATGATGACTTACTTTCACTATCTCGTGGTCCAAGTAAGATTGTTAAATGTTTTACTGGATTTGTCATAAATGGACATCGATTTCATACAGAAAGTCGAGATAATTGTTTGTCAACTCAAAGTAGTGGGGTTGCAGTTGTTGGTGATGCTGGTGATGGTGGAGATATAGATTATTATGGTGCTTTGGTTGAAGTTGTCGAATTAGAGTATCCTGGTAGAAGAAAGGTTGTTCTATTTCGTTGTCAATGGTGGGATGTGCACGGCAAAGGAAAAGGGACCGCTTTGAAAGAAGACAAATATGGATTTATCAGTATTAACTGCCGACACTTGCTAAAGACGAATGACCACTTTATACTTGCTGGCCAAGCATCACAAGTTTTTTATGTTGAGGATATTGCCAATGAAGGTTGGCATGTAGTTCTTAAAGCACAACCCCGTGATTCCTATGATATGCCACCAAATACAGATGATTGTGAGATAACAGACGATGGAGTTGAAGCTTATTTGCAAGATGAATCATTTGATACTCAGGCTATTGCATCAACATCATTGGAAGATGATTATCAATTTGAGAAGGAGTGATATTGATAAAATTGTTGTAAATTCGGTCTCAACTTCAAAAAAGAGGAAACAGACTCAAGTAGAGAATTAGAACGCTTTAATTAAAGAATAGAACATAAATGATATTGTGTTATTGAGATAAATTTTAAGTTGTATCTTCACTATAACTATTCCTTTTTTAGACATATGATGTTCTTTTCTTCATATTTTGGATGTGGCTTTGACATTGCAGCAAGTGCTTCTACATTAGTGTATTATGTATTTATTATTATGCTTGTCCTTAGGGATTTCTTTTTCTTTTATTCATTTCTCTTTTGACATTTGTTTTATACATAGTGTATGATACTTAAATTCCTATTCATAGCAGAAAAATGAAAACTCAAGAAGTCACTTCCAAAAGCAAAAGGGCACAATTTCTAGCACCCAGGTCATTAATTAGGAAGCGACTTCAAGCACTTGCAGAAAATTCATTAAGAAGGGAACAACTCCGTACTTGTCATGATAAGAACTTGAATATTCAAAATCCAATACAAGATCAAAATATGGGTACAAATTTTAGTGCTGATTCAGAAAACTTTGAAGAGGAGAATTTTGCACAAAATCGCAGGAGAAGTGCAAATACTAACAATGAAGAGAATAATGATTCTACAGGTTGATGAGACTTAAAATTTATTATTATTTATTTTTTATCTTTCAATTTATTTTTTATGATTGGATTAATAATTGCCCATTTTTTGTAGAATCAAATAATCATCGAGTGCAAAGTGATGATGTAATACTAAATGAATCTCGACAAGAAGGTATATTCTTTGTTAATTACAAGAAGTAATATTTTTATCAATTTCTTTTTACCTATATCTTGTTTCTAACATATGATATGATGTATGCAGCTGATAATTCTCATAAGAAGAAAAATCAACCTCGTGGTAATAATAAGTGTCTAAAGTTGAATAATTTGTCACATGGGGAGAAAAAGATCATTACTTTTTATCAGAATAGAGCTATTGAGCCAGAATTTTCACGATATCTTAGAATTATTATTCGTGATAGAAATATTTGCCCAGTAGCTGTTGAGAATTGGGCCAAAATACCACAACAAAATAAAGATCATATGTGGGCATCCATTAAGGTACATTGAAAATTAATTTTTTGCATTTTGTTTTCAATTCTTATAAATTAAATTTTGATTCAAATTTGATATAGGATAAATTTGATGCTGATGACATGAAGCAAAAGAGAGAGTTAGTAATGAGACACTTGCGCGATTTGTGGAATAAGTGGTGTGGTGACATGCACAGGAAATATGTGAAAGAAAATTCATTGCAAGTTGCACTTAGAAATAAACCTACAGAAGTGAGTGTTGATGACTGGGATTGGCTAGTTAAGGAACATTATTTTCTTTAAAATTTTAGGTATTAATCTCCTAATTTTATTAATTTTGTTCCATGTTTATTGTTGGATTGTTTAAATTATCTTTTAATCTTGATGTATAGAAAGCAAGCCAACAAAATACACTTAACAGAGGCAAAAGAAAGATGCTCCACCACACGGGTAGCAAACCCTTTAGACAAATTGCGTAGGAATTAGTATACATTCAAAACTAATTTCTTATTTATTTATAACTACTTTGTTTTTTAGTTTGATGTTGTACTCATTTTTATTTAATATTTGAATAAGGGTGGCAAGTCAGGAAATCCACCTGATGTGGCAAAAATGTTTTATGAAACTCGAAAGAAAGCTAATGAAACACTAGAAAATGGGGATCAAGATAAATATGTAAGTAGAATATGTGTTTAAGTTTGATAATGATGCATTATATAGTACTAACATATGAATTTAATATTTATAGGATGAAATTGTTCAAGTCAAACAAGCAAACCCTTCACTTTCTGACATTGAGATAGTTGAGAAAATGTGGGGGAAGCAATCTCATGGTCACATTACTGTATTTGGTGGCGGGACTACTTTGAAAGATTTGAGAGGACCGCTCCCTAGTCGATCTGATCTGGAAGCACGGGTTATAGAAGAAAAGAGAAAGAACCAGATGCTTCAACAACGCTTAGATGAGAAGGAGCAACAACAATAAAGGATGTCTGAGTTGGAGTCATAAGTGAAAGCTATGCAAGAACTTTTTTTTATGCAATCACCTTCATTGACTCTTCAAACTCGAGAACATGTGCAGGACTAGGTAATTATTTTTTGTAAAATCTCTTATATACTTTATGATTGACTACTTACACTAAAAAATATAATTTTTTTACTTAATAAGATAATATTTGCTTAATTGATATTTCTTAATTATGTGATTTTTTTAAAATTTTTTAGGCTATCCATGCAAGATTAGGAGGGGGTAGCTCGAGTCTTCTTTTGACGATGATTAGAGGTGTCAGAGATGTGTCTTCCCCAAACTTTTATTTTAATTTGTTTTAGATAGTTTCATGTATTTTTCTTTGGAACAATTAGGATATTAACTCTTATTATTAGTATTGAATATTTGAGGATGGTGTAATTTTATTTATTGATGTTATTAATGAATGGAATTTTTATTTTACCTCTTATTCATTATTGGATATTTTTAATATGTTTTTGTTGTGAATCTTAGTGTCTGGTTGAGAATAATATGATAGTTGCCTATGAATGAAAAATTTATTATTAATGTATATTAGAAATTTATAGTCTATAATGACGGTTTTATAAACCGTATTTTGTTCATCAACGAAGAGAAAGCACCGTCGTTGATGGGTTACTAATTACCCATTATGTGGACTTTTACGACGGTATCTAACCGTCATTAATTAGTCTTCAACAACGGGAAAATATCCCCGTAACTAATGGTAACGATGGGAAAATATCCCGTCACTGATGGTAACGACGGGAAAATATCCCGTCACTGATGGTAACGACGGGAAAATATCCCCGTTACTGATGGTAACGACGGTGATAATTACCGTCGTAAATATTAATGACGGTAATATGTTCCGTCGTTATAGACTCTATAATGACGGGTAGTGTATCCCTTCGTGACCCTTTAGCGAAGAGGGCTTCAACGACGGGTGACGAAGGGATTTTCCCCGTTGTTATCATACAATAACGAAGGTTTTCAGCTCTTTAACGAAGGGAAATCCCTTCGTTAAAGATGTAATTTCTTGTAGTGTATCATGTTCATATATGACTCTAGATTTCTCTGTTAGAGTTTATTTACAAATATTTGTGGCTTTTAGGGACTTAGAATGAAATATTAGGTCACAACTTTCTATCCTCCACTCAAGAGGGTTTATTAGTAAAGCTAAAATAACTTAGGGGCTCTTGATAAATTTTTCTCCCTTTATATTGCTTTATACCTGATCATCTTCCTCCTTCATCCTTTCTTTCTTTTCTTTTTTTTTCTTCTTCCGTTCCTCTTTTCTCTTTTTTCTGACTAGATCACTAGGAATCTCTCTCCTATCTCGTCTCTCTCTCTCTCTGCTCTCATCTATCTCTCTCTCCTCTCTCTCTCATCTCTCTCTCATCGCAGTCCGCCCCACTCCCCTCGACCTCAAATTTCACTACCTCCTCCCCCTCACTCCCCATACCCCCCTTCTCTCCCCTCTCTATCACTCGTCGTTATCTCACCTCGCCATGGTGCTAGAAATAGGTGACGCTGAATCACCGGCGACGCATGGAGGAGTGGCTGGTGCAAGACGCTCCGTCGATTTTTAGCTTTAGTATTTTCCTTTATTATTATTATTATTACTATTATTTATAAAAGCAATTACAAAGCTTTAGCAAAATATCAAAACATCATTCTATTAGGTTCCTATGACAAATTTACTTCTTCTATATCAAGAAACTTCAGATCAATCATGAGGATTGGGTTAAACTGCAATTGACTACGAACTTTGAGTGCTATTCAAGCTTCCTTCCTCTCCTCTCCTACTCCTCATTCTCCTAATTGTTCAGTTTATTGTTTGGAAATGAAGCGGTAAGTTTGTGAGAGATAGCATAGTAGAAATCCATCAACATGGGTTATGCGACAGCAATGACCCATGCACAAGACAAGTCTTAGGCACGAGTCAAGCCTGGTACTTCATATCACTTAGTTTATCATAAAATATTCATAAACCTACAGATAATAGAAGTTTAGAGCAACTATATATACGTATATAATCAGTACTTATAATCTACAAGCTCACTGTTATAAGCATTTTACAAAATAAAGCACATTCTTGACTATATGTAACATTCAAAAAGAAGGCTTTTCATATAACGCCTCTCAGCAAAGCACCACAACCAAAAGTTTGGCTAGTATGTAGCTACACCAGATCTGGAAAAAAAATTAAAAATGACGGGGTGAGCTAGAGCTCAGTGAGAACATTTCCCACTAGAGTTCCTGGATAACTAATAAAATAATAATAAGGATAATACCCAGAAATAACAAATTATAAGTTTTGCATCAGAAATTCAAAAATAGCAAAATACGATCAAACTATCATAATATTATCGTCTTCAAGAAAGAATACAATAATTATATTTTCTTTCTTATGTGCAACTGAATCTACTGTGACATTTTCTAGAATCAAACTTTTTTGAATCAAGATAAACATTAAGAAAGAAAAGAACTACTAATTTGTACAAAACTAGAGGATTGCTATTTTCTCAATTTCACATTCAATTGTTAGAATCTTAATTCTTGATGAGTTATTCATGAATGTAAAAGTCACCTCATAGGTCACATTAAGGCTAAGAATTATAGCCCAATAGCATGGGAATGCGTAAAACGTATCACATAACAGATAATTTCCGAGAATTAAATGCACCTATCACTGCCATAGGTTACTGGCCAAATACAGAGGGGCCAGAACAAATTTCAGAAGAGCAAATACAGAAGGTCTAATACAGAGGGGTCAAATAAAGATGCATTCACCATATGGCAGGCAGAATCATTCCATAGTGGACTTTTTGAGTGTTTGAAAACATCAAGGATCACTTGTCAAATGAGTAATACCTTACGTATCAGAATTTACAGATATTTTAAATGAAGTGGACAAGGTAAAACTCCTCATCCCAGTTAAAACAGTTTATGAATTTTTCACTTTTCTTTATTTTTATTAGATACTAAGTCATAAAAATCTTTGAATCTATTAAACTATTGAAATACGTTCAAAATACTTCACCAAAAACATTCAGATAAAGCAATACCTACAATTTTTTTGAAACTGCATGAGAGCCAAATTCACTTTTTATATTTTACATAAGGTCAAATTTGCTTTTAGTATCTTGTGAGAGGCTAACATCGTATTATAGGATAGACCACAATAGAAATAGATGAAATCACATTTAACTTTCATATACATGAAAAATAATATGCTATTTATTTTTTGAGCACAAGATTATTCAAACTTAGTACTATGTACTCATGCAATTATATATCGTAAAAATACTAGTGAGAAATGAACTCACCTCTAGTGGTCACGACTTTCACAAACTATTATTCTCCTAAATATCAACCAGAACCTATAATGTGAATATATAAAATTAATGGCAATTATAGGTAAACCAATTCATAATTTAAAGCCTAACCAATAATAATTAAAATCTATGGTACATATGAGCTTATTACTAACTTTAGTAATTTATCAAAATTTTATAACTCTAATATACTAGCTTTTGGACTTCCTAGTAATTTATGATAAGGCATGGGTTTTAGGAAATTTATCAAGTCTAAAAGATGTCTTTTATTCTTCAGATTGGACTTGTTCGCAAATTGAGTAAATGATAGGGGCCTAACAGATATTTTTTAGTCCTTTTTATCTTTGGACCTATGTACAACCTAAATTTTTTTTAAGGATCTTAAGAAAATTTTGCTATTTAACTATATTCTCCTTTCTCTCTCCTCTATCTCTTCTTCAACCTCCGTTCTCCTTCTCCTTTCATTTCATTTTTTTTCTCCCATTCACTCCTCTCTCTCTCTCTCTCTCTCTCTCTCTCTCTCTCTCTCTCTCTCTCTCTCTCTCTTTTTTNTTCTCTCCCACTCTCTCCTCTCTCTCTCTCTCTCTCTCTCTCTCTCTCTCTCTCTCTCTCTCTCTCTATCTATCTTTTCTCTCTCTCTCCTGTAGCTAGTCGGCGTGGCTGCTCAAGCTCTGCCGCCAGAGCGGACATCTGAGGGCGAGGCTCCCCGGTGCTGGCGGTCAGGTGAGTCTTTCTCTCTCACTCTTTTTTTTTCTTTTGATTCCTCTTACTCTCTCTCTCTCTCTCTCTCTCTCTCTCTCTCTCTCTCTCTCTCTCTCTATCTATCTTTTCTCTCTCTCTCCTGTAGCTAGTCGGCGTGGCTGCTCAAGCTCTGCCGCCAGAGCGGACATCTGAGGGCGAGGCTCCCCGGTGCTGGCGGTCAGGTGAGTCTTTCTCTCTCACTCTTTTTTTTTCTTTTGATTCCTCTTAAGAAATCAAAGAACAATTACTCCCATCAATTTTTAAAATAAAAGAAGACTAATGAGAGAGGAATTATACATTTGTTTCCCCTTGTCCTCTCCCCCAACTTCTTCCCCTTCTCTTCTTCTTTTCTCTCTTCACAATATTTATCTAGCTCCCAAAGGGTTTGGTTGAGGATGAGAGGATATTCTCCGGGGGGGTTTTTTTCTTTTTCTTTCTTGATTTTTTTGGCCTTTCTTTGATTTTTTTTCTCTATTTTATTCCTCCGTTAAGGAGGTGCTGACCAACTTGTCGATTGGCCATTAAAACACTAATGTGACAGATAATCAAGAGTTAGGGGTGAAATTCCTAAGAAATCCCTAATTAGTTTCCCTAATTTGTATTTAAAAAAATTCTCCATTAATCTATTTTTAAGGCACTAATTGTTTATGTCAAAAGTTGCCTTTTCCATTGTTTTCAAACCTGTTACACCGTTTATCGATTACAAGTTCAAACTGAAAGAAAAGTTAATCTTTTTATAAGATCTTCTTACAACGAAAAAATAAAGATTACAACTTTATCAAACAAAACGCAGCAGTAGTTTATCTCTCGCTGCTTTGAGTGGGATCTTTACCTGTGCCGGGGACGCGTTAGTCCGTGGACCACCGTAGATCAAACCTGATTGACAGTATTACTACGCTCTTGTTTCATGAAGGAAACAATCGCGGAAGCGACAATCACGACCAAGCGAGATTGTGGCTCTTCTCGAGATTAAAACCAAGTTTAATCCGGAGGAAAGAAGGGAAAAAAATCACAAACCTTTCGAAGGGGCTTTCTTTATGAAAGTGTTCGCCAAAATCTGATGATTCTCCTCTGAAATTCATAGTTAACTGGACAATTTGACAGCACCTCGCCTTCTCAATCTCCGATCCCCTTTAAAGAAGACCCTAGGCTTCTATTTATAGGCCTTTGGAGATGTCCTTTTGAATAAGAATTTGTGTTTAAACATCATCTGCAGTTTATAACTGTCTAAACGCATTCAGGAATAACCTTAAAACAGTTGGAGAGGTTCTGGG